GCTATGGAGTATTGACGTGAGGATGGGATGGGAGGTGGTCTCATATTCCTGGACACCCGTGGCTTACATCTCCAAGTGATCACTGTGCACTCAATGACTGGCCTTTACAACACCCTGGACTTAAAAAAAAAAAAAAAAAATCCCTCCTTCCTTTCCACCGTCGCACGCCATCTCATTATTGTTGATGTTGTTACTGTCGTCGTTGCCGTTGTTGTTGTTGTTGTTGTGAGCAGAGGCGGTATGGGGGTCGTTGTTGTGATTGTTGGTGTTGTTATTGTGGTTGTCGATGATGTAGTTGCTGGCTGCACTGAAATTGTTGTTGGAATAGCTGCCGGTCGTGCTTGCATCGTTGTTGGCATCGTCCGTGATGTCGTCTTCGTTATCATAATATCGGGCCTCCAGCTCGGCGTTCCCCTCCTCAAGCTGCTCGTCGTGGCGCCGCACCAGACTATCCAATTGTGGCCGATCCAGAAACGCATCCAGGTGGGGGGGCGGCCCCTCCTCCAACCCCCATGATATCTCCACTACAACCTGCATCACGCTCCGGAGCCACGCGATCGACGGGACCACTCCCGCAGCAGCAGCTGATCGTAGCCTCGCCACCGCCAGGCTGGACCGCACACAACTCTCTTGGATGGTTGTAAGCCACTTGGCCGCTTCTGTCTATAGATCACTCGAAGTCGCCATCACCATTCGCCACGCAGTTCACCCCCCCACTTGTTTTACCCCACGTCACACACCCCTACACACCCTAGTCGTACCCCTCCTTACAAACTGCGCCCTTCACAAAAGGTCCTTAGATGACACGCCAGGTGGCGTGCAACCGATCAGGTTGGACGCCACGTCAGAAGGTGGTGAAGCTGCCCTGACGTGTCGCGCAGGGAGCAGGCCGAGCCGTGGCGGCCAGTTCCCGGCGAGGAACCAAGCTGTAGGCGGCCCGTAACGCAGCGCAGCCCCTCTTTGCGATATCTTTTCTCCACTGATCCCCGGCTTCGTTTTTTTTTTTTTTTTTTCGTTTTCACCGTCGTTCTGCTTTTACTTTTCCGGTTTGCCCGTCGTTTCGGGTCGTGCGTGTGCCCTGTCTCTTATACACATCTAGATGTGTATAAGAGACAGGGTTAGAGCAGAGCACCGGTTGAAAATGCGCATTGTGGTATAAGGTTGCGGGTTCAAATCCGCAGCCTTGCGCATGGACACCGGCAGGGTGTTAGATTGACGCACGGCTGGACACATACCCCCTTGGGATGACGCATGTTAGCTATTACAGACACTGCCTACGCACCACCCAAGGGTTGTTCATGGTGTTGTAAGCTGGTTTTGGGTTTCACATTGGTTGTTTGGGGTTGTTGGTCTTGGGTGTTCTGTTGATCTCCTCAGTCTGACGTATCACACGTTCGTGCCATTTCCACTGGTCGTTCACATGGTAGAGTCATTCAGTTATATGTTACAAGGTCACGGGTTCGAGCTTGGTTCGGACCTTGGGGGGGTCCCTGTCTAGCTTACCCCGTTCTCTCTCTTCGATATACAAAGTATACATAGCCTTAGGACATAACATACAACTATATATCGCCTATGGGCTATATATACACACATAGCCTTAGCCTTTGGACATAACATAGATAGACATATCGCCTATGGGCTACATACACATATATATAGCCTTCAGACATAATATAGAACTATACATCGCCTACAGGCTACATACACTCTCAGATTCACAGTGAACATATATAGCCTTCGGACATAACATAGAACTATATATCGCCTATGGGCTACATACACATATATATAT